AACTCAGAAGCCATGGCAAAGAGCCTCCCACTGGCCAAAGATGAGACAATTGATAAAGATAACAAAAGCAATGGACTGAAACACAAAAATGTTTAGTTGGAGTTCATAATGACAAAGACTAACGATAATGATACTTAAAAACTCATTTTCCACCTTTGGAAGATGCTAGAGAACCAGTTCATTACTTTGAAAAGTAGTAAATAAAGGAAATTAAGTTTTTATCCCTTCTCTTTCTTACACAAATGGTATCCCAGCACAACCAAATCATTGAGAGGGGAAATTTGTCTTTTTAGAAATAGTCTAGCTAGTAAAGAAAGAAGGTGACAGAATTAAAATATCACTATTTTGTATCTCCTAATGAACTCATGGATCTAGGTCCATTAATATCAACAAACAGCAAGGTGAGTTAGAATAGGGAGTTCAAATGAGTTATCAACCAGTGTCTAGACCTGGGGTTCTTGATCTTTTTTTGAGCCCTCTGACAGTTTGGTAAAGCCCATGGACTTCTTTTCAGAATAATATTTTTAAACAATTAAAATAAAATACAAGGGCTTACAAAGGAAACGAAATAAACTGATACTCACTGCCGTCAAGTCGAATCTGACTCATAGCAACCCATCCTTGGGCTTCCAAGGTGGTATCAGGCTTCCAAGGTGGTATCACTATGGAGGTAGATTGCCCAACCTTCCTTCCAAGGAGTGACTGGTGGATTTGAACCGCTAGCCTTCTAGTTAGCAGTCAAATGCCTTAGGCACTACTGATAAACAATTATAAAAATATTTTCTATGTGACATACTAATACATGTATTTCCTTATTAACATATTAAATAATAAGATCTACTTGTAGGTCTAATAATTTCTATAATTTCAGAAGGTATTTTAAAGCCTCTGTAACTCCTGTAATTTAATGTGAAAGGAATTCAAATGGCATTAAACTCACAGGTACTGTGAATACTACTGTGGTCTGTCACTGACATTCGTAACAGAAGAAAATGCTCAGTTTTAATTAGTAGCTAGTGAAATGAATTTCACACATTTTTTTCCCATTCAAGTTCATGAACCCCTTGACATCTATCCATGAATCTCCTGGGGATTTGTTGACACTAGGTTAAGAAACCCTGGCAGAAGTTAAAAACTGGAGCCAAAGTAAGGACCCAGGAGAGTTAAGAACAAAGAGTAACACAGGCAGCAAGCAGGTCTACATGAATTCAGATGAGGTGCAGATGCTTATCAAACAAACTCACTGCCATGGAACCGAGTCCAACTCATAGTGACCCCTCCTTGGGTTTTTGAGGCGGTATCTCTATAGAAGTAGATTGCCCAATCTTCCTTCTGAGGAGTAGCTGGTGGGTTTGAACCACCAACCTGGTTAGCAGTCAAATCTTTAGGCAGTACTCCACCAGAGCTCCCAGATGCCTATAGTGACTTTGTAAATGTTCCCATCATGCACTTGCTTGACTGAACTATATTCTGGTAAGTGCCTGACAAAAAGTGTGTGGGATAAACTTTCTTTGTTGGTTATCAGGGGTGGGGGGGGGACACTTAAAAAAAATGCATTGACCCATGTCACTTTAGTTTTGTGTATTTCACTGTACATAAATTATATTTCAATACGATGTATTTAAAAAAATAAAGTGTGTGGGATATAGATGAAAAGATGAGTGCTTATATGTTGATAAGTATTAAAGCTAGTAATGGGTACATTAGGGTTTTTTATACTATCCTCTTTTCTGGATACTTGAAATTTTTCATACTAAAAAGATGTAGAAGTAATTAACAAAATGTGGGACCTGAAAAAAAACAGAAACAAAAAAACAGTCATGTGTGGATTGTATTTAGATCCTGATTTCAACAAATGGCCAAACACATTTACGAGATAGAGAAATTTGAACAGTGACTGGAGTTTGAAGATAATTATGACTAATTTTTTTAATGTTATAGGGATTAATTATTTTTCTTTTTTTTGCCTTTTTTTTTTTTTTAAATTGTGATTTGGGTGAAGATTTACAGAGCAAATTCACTTTCCATACAGCAGTTCCAGACAGACATATACTTTGTCTCATGTCATTGACCACAGTTTACCACAATGCAACAGCTCCCCTCTCCCACTTCCTTCCCATAGTTACCTCTTCCCAGTGTCCATCCCTCCATGCACTCCTGCCCCCTGAGCTGTCTCCCTGTGCATAAGCAGCCCTTCTTTCTCCCATGATTGTTCTCTCCAAGGAGTGTATCTACTTGAGGTAAATGTTCAACTCATATGCCTGTATTTTGTGTGGCTGGCAACCACAGGTGTGGGTTCAGTTCCAGACCTGAAGGGCAGCTAGGGGCCATAGTCTCAGTGGTTCCACCAGGCTCTATCAGACGAGCAAACCTGGTCCCCCCCTTTTTTTCCCCCTCCAAATGATTTTGAATTTTGTTTTACATTGTTCTCCCTCTCTATCAAGGACCTCCTCCTACATAGATCCCCTTCCAAGTGGATGACATTGGTAGCCGGGTACCATCTAGTTCTTCTGGTCTCATAGTTGTATAGGCTGCAGGTGTACCAGTCGCTAGGACTAATTGTTTCCATGAATTTTGGTTTTCTTCATTCTTTGCTCTGGATGAGGAGAGACCCATGGTTGCATCTAGATGGCAGCTTGCTAGCTTTTAAGATCCCAGTCACTACTCGCCAAAGTAGGAGGTGGAAGAATGTTTTGTATAGTATATTATGCCAATTGAGCTTGATGTCCCCTGCGACTATGGTCCCAAGCCCACAGGTTCAACTACTTGGTCCCTCTGGGTAGCTGGCTGTTACCAAGCAGTGACCACAACCTTGCCCCGTCAGCTGTACTACACCTGGGAATTCTGATCATTCACATAAACTTATAGGACCATTGTCTGCCAACCCTATATATGTTCTTGGATATAGAGATTAATTCTTAATTTAAAAAAAAGTTTTAAGTTGAAATATTTATGAAGTAATATGATTATCTAGGATTTGCCTTCAAAATAATCCAGGATGAGTGACTGGGGTACAGATAAAATAAGATTGGCCATGAATTGACAATATTTGAAGCCAGATGATGATGGGTACATGCATGGGCTACCATTATTCTCTTTACTTTTAAATATGTTTGAAATTTTCCATAAATTAAAAAAAAAAAAGGATTGTGAGCCAAGATTACAATGGCAATTGCTCATATTCTCCAAAGTATAGCCTATCTTTCTAAAATTGTACAGGACCAGAGGCTACAGCTACACACAGGCAATAAACCAGGAAAAACAAAACCAACACATACTTGATTAAAACCATGCAGAGGCCAAATGAGAGGAAGAGGGCCTGTCCCCCTACCCTCCACTTGAGGGTTAAACACCTTCCTTTCCTTGAGTTCTGGGGCTGGAGTTTTCCTAAGCCCCAGCTTTACCTCACCTACCCCTATCAATCGCTATGAGTCGGGGCCGACTCAACGGCAAATAACAACAACAACAACAACACCCCTATCAATGCAGATGTCTTAGTAGTAAGACTGGATACCACACAAACACTATAGAACTCAATTTTGACTTCTACTCTTCTTGCATCTGATTAGAGCAAATGGTGGAGAAGGTACATAGAGCTGTGGGGTTATAGGAGGCTAATTATTTTGGATTTTAAGGTTTATGAGCTTAAACACATACTTTGGAGGGAGAGTACTGGGCCTCACACCCTATATGTTAACTCTCTAATGCATGATGTATAAACTAAGCAGTGCAAAGTAAACAAGAGAAGAGGGGCAAAGGGGTTGGTATCCATTCCAGACTATCCAAAGTTAGATTTCACAAAGCTTGACTTTCAAGATTCATCTTCCTGTAGCAAATGCCTATTTATTAAATTTGAATTTTAAAGCGAAAATCTGTTTTATCAACATGAATTCTATGTTAAGTGATTCTGAAGGCAACAAATCAGGAGGAAAGGCTTAAACTGAAAAATAAAATGGTCTTTATTTAGCTTTTTGGAAATATAAATAACACAATAAATGGTTAAAGAAAATAATAAAACAAAAAACTGACATTTTATATAATTGATCATCTCCAGGCCCAGCATTTATTCATCAATATAAAAAATAAATTTTATTTTTTTATCCAATTTCATCCCAGCTTTGACTACATGAATGCTTTTAGGAAGCCCGAGTCTCTCTAACAAAATTCCACCACTATACTGGCTCCTGCGATGCAACAGAGTGAGGTTAAAATCCCACTCCTGTAGGGGAATCAATTTTTATCCTAGGGATTCTGAACAACTAAACCCCCAGGAACTTACAAAACAGATGCTTTCATTAGACTCCTTCTAACATGGGGAAAATACAGCCATCGTCATTCAAACACAATCCAATTTGGGTATAGGTACTCCTCAGGTTTTCTAAGTTCTTATCGTGAGTATTAAATTAGGCCATAGTCTTTTCTGGCAGCACAGCCTGGAGCCAAATGCAATCTTCCTTACCAGAAGCCTCCCAAGCTGCACCAAAAGTGGAATTAACAAAACTGAAGGTAAAGAGCATTTTCTACCTTTCTTCCTGGAAGTTACAAAGACTCTTTGCATAGAAGGGTAAGGAGATTTTGCATCAAACTTGCCTTCAATGCTCACTACTGTGGAAAGGCAGCTAAATCTATTCAGCACACACCAGTATTGAGTATATGTGAGTACTTACCATCACCACACAAGGAAGTTAGAGTGAACTAACAAGTCTCTCTGGATCAAGCCCCTCAAAACAGAGGCAAATTTGATGAACCAAGGCCACTGCCTATAGTATCAGTTAACCCCAGTTCACCCAGGTTCTTTCCTGAAGAACCATATTAATCTCCTGATTCAAGAGGCACCTCTGGCCAGGACAGAGCATGCAAGGGCAACATTAACTTCAGGGCAGGGCGATGCCACAGAGTTCAGAGGTTCTGGTTTAGTCTAAGCACAAGAAGATGGCAGCATCTCTAATATTTAGAGCTGGAAAGCGCCTTGGCTGGTCCACACTCCTGGAGCATGTTTACTAATGCATCTTAACGGCAGATGCCCAGATGTCGTTGCTGGGGAGCGGAGGAAGGACCCATCCTTGGGGAATGGAGTTGCCTTTGGGATGATCAGATGGCACCAGGTACTGATCCCAATCATGCCTTAATAAGAACATTGTAGAATAACTCCTTATTTGTTTTACTCAGACCAGGTAAATATTAGCAACTAAACATTCTATTTCTAGGACTTAACTTTGACTGACGTACTAATCTATCACAGAACTTGCTTTCTAGGAATTATGCAAAAGACAGTATTTCTTAAATGTACATACACAAGGGAAAAAACTCTAAAATAAAGAACGTAGAACCATATGGGTAACCAAATAATTAATATGTGTATGTTTAAAAGCTAACACTTGTATATAAGCCAGAGATGCATTCTTCCCAGAATATAAACTTCATGTGGTAATGAGCATTCTATCATAAGAATCAGAAAGCACCAGAGCTTTGGAAGGGATGTCAAAGATCACTGAGTTTTGTGATTTTTCAAATCATGCTTTAAAGATCTCTAGAGCTTAGTATATGCTTTTAGGGGATCTAGAAACAGTGAAGTGTTTTCAGTCAACAACAGATTTAAACTACCCAGGGAACCATTCATCCTGTTTTGCAGACTGATTTCTCAAAAGACTGCATTTGAGATAAACGCTACTGCTGAAGTGTTGAAGGCCACCATTCCAGCCCATCATTTTCTTCTCTATATGAGGAAAGGGAGACCCAAAGAGCTGGAAACTTTTCCCAGCTCATTAGTAACTGCCAATTAAGATAAGACTCCAGTTCCCCTTGTTCTTAGCTTTCTTGGCTTTGACCTATAAGAGCTCAGAAGCCAGTTTGGGTCTTAAGTAGTCTTCACAGACAAGAACACAGGGGTGACTTTCTTTTCCTTGCTCTGTCTAGCACCAGAGAAGAGAACCAGGAAAAGGAAAGCAATGCTTTAAATCACCCTAACAGCTAGTTAGGGCTAGTCACAACTGCGTTTCCATTTTCTTAACTATTAATATATGGAAATCACAGATGGGGGAGAGGTGGAGGAAAGCCACTAACTGGAGAACAGACTTGTATTAATTTGGGTGAAGGGAAAGGCAATATAAAATAAATAAAACATTTATTTAAGGGGGAAAAAAAAAGGAATACCATCATCCACTTCTCAGGGATTAATGAGAACTAAATAAGATGTATGTGACATCCTTGAACACTAGGAACATTATAAACCCATAAAGAACTTAAAAGAAAAAACAACCATACAGTAATAGACCTCAACAATGTAATAAGCACTTCATCAACTGCTTCTTGCTACCAAAGGGAAGGACAGCACATTGCCGAGTCTGCCCCTTTTACCTTATTTGGATGAGCGCTGGCAGGGAGTGTTCAGCTTGGAGGTAATATTGCCGGAAAGGCTGCAGGAGATGAGCAAGTGGGAACTCATCTGAAAAAGAAAGGCACAAAACCATGTCATCTTGCTTTCTAGAGTGTATGTCTCAAGGCAAGGTGACTGAGCCTATGACTATGACAATATGATCAAATGTTTCATCTTTACCCATGATTTCCATGACACAGTGAATCCTGAATGTGTCATTTGTTGTCTACCATCCCTTAGCTTATGGACTCCTTCCTGGAGGCTGCTAACCAAAAGGTTGGCAGTTCAAACCCATCCAGCCACTCACTGAAAGACCTAATTAAAAGGTGGGAGAAAAGACCTGGCAATATTAAGATTACAGCCGGGAAAACCCTATGAGGCAGTTCTACTCTGTCACATGGGGTCGCTGTAAGTCAAAAATTGACTCAACAGCACCTACCAACAACATCCCTTAGCTGAAGCCGAGATCATCCGTGAGGAGAAGAGCCAACTTACTATTTTCCTTTTCTCTACTGGTTACAGAGAACTTACCTGGATCCCCAAATAACTTGGACTCAATTTCACGCTTCTGAAGTAAAATTTTCTCCTTTTCTTTTCTTTGTTTCTTTTCTAATTCTCTTTTCCTCTCTTCCTCTTGTTCTCCTTCCAGCATAACTCTGAGGGCTCTCTCTTCAGCTTCATATAGTTCAGAGCGTTTTTTAATGAGTTTTCTCAGTCGCTGCAGATGATGCTCAAAAGTTTCATCTGCTGAGGCTGGAGGGCAGACCCCTGGGCAAAGAGATCCACGTGGCATTTTAGGCACAACTATCTCGTATCCCCAAATTAGAACATACCTATGTTCTAACAGGCAGGCTCATAGTTCTATACTATGAACTTGCTTAAAATATGTAAATTCTACCCAATCTTCAAGGTCTAATTTGGTCTTCTTGAGTATCCAATTACTATGATCAGAGCCCAACTTTTTCTGAACTCCTCACTCTGGACCGTAACACTTAACCCTTAATTTTGCTTATTTCTAATGGTCCTGATGTTCCAGTTGGACAGTGAGTTCACTAAAGGAAAGAACTTATATTTCTTCAATGTTCATGAGATGAACAATTTTGCCTCTGACTGAGTCTGAAGTTTTGGGAGAGCACACTTGGAGTCATGAAGAAAATACATTTAACCAACCACACTGACCTCACAGTCCTCTGCTGACAGTAAGTGATCAACAGTCTCCATCTGCCATGTCCTGGGAAACTTCTCAGTACCAAGAAAACCAGAACGGCTGGTCACCCTAGTTCAAATGTGAGGTCAACTAACAGTGTAGAGTTAATATTTAGGAAGCAACAACTGGGACAATTTGATCGTGAACTGGTTATTAGGTGAAGTCAAAAGAATTACTGCTTCACATAGTTAATAAAAAGTTATCTTTTTTCAGAGATACATATATCAGTACAGGAGGATGACATACCTGAGATTTGCTTTAAATTAGTTCAGCAAAGAAAAAAAAAAGAAATGTGGGGAAATCTTAAAAATTGTTTAATTTGGATGAATTGTATCCAGGAGTTCTAATTTTCTGCATCTGTGAAATTTTTCATAAAAGGAAAAAAAAATTAATGCTCAAAGAATACCTGAGTGGATGCAGGTCTGCACACACTATTGTAATGGCCCTGCAAACAAAAGCTGATAAAGCTGTTGGTGATTCAACACTGACTGACACTGGAATGGCCCATTATATCAGTTCTTGAAGATTTGAAGATTTTAAATGAAATGGTATTTATTGATTTTAAAGGAAAAGGTATTTCTTACACAGCATTTTATGGGAAAAATCCCAATCATGCCAGCATAAGCATAATCTCCATGTTCCTTTCCAATTTTTTTGTTCACATTAGCAAGTTCATATGGTTCAAACTAATATAGATATAATTTCTACATGGCTGTACAAGCACCATTAATCATCCATATTCTTTTCTAGTACTCATAATTATTAAACAGCTCTATCCTATTTCATGGGAGCTCTAGTAGCATAGTGCCTAAGGCTCCTGACTGCTAACCAGAAGGCTGGCAGTTCAAACCCACCAGCCACTCCTCGGAAGGAAGGATGGGCAATGTACTTCCACAGTGATACTGCCTCGGAAACCCAAAGAGAGGTTGCTATGAGTCGGCACATAACAACAACAACAACATCCTATTTCATCAAAACAATGTATCATAGTTTACTTAACAAGCAGCAAGCTCAGTGGTCCTCAGGCTCCCCTCATTTATGACCTCCTGGCTTCCACTATTCCTTTGGGTTAGATAATTTGCTAGGACAACTCACAGAACTCAGGACTATTCTTAGGATTACAGTTTTACAATAACAAAGATACAAATGAAGAGATTCAATGGACAAGGCCTACGAGAGCTCTCAATGCAGAGCTTCCATGTCCCAAAAAGGCACGTGCTACCCTCCTATATGCATTGCTATCTTTCACCAACCAGGAAGACATGTAGCTTCAGTATCCAGAAATTTTATTGGGCATCTCATTAAGTAATTCAAATTCTAGCTCTTTTCTCCTGAGGTTAGTTGATAATAAAGGTGATCAAGAGGTGGGTCTTTTTAGGGGCTCAGGAACATAGTCTTGGGGACATCAAGGTCAATTGGCAAAACATAGTTCACAAAGACAATGTCCTACATCCTACTTTGGTGAGCAGCAATTAGGGTCTTAAAAGTTTTAAGTGACCATCTAAGGTGCAACTATTAGTCTCTCCCCATCTGGAATAAAGAGTGAAGAAAATCAAAGATTCAGGGAAACAATTTGTCGGAAGGCCTAATGGACCATGTAAACTCCAGCCTCCGTCACCATGAGACCAGAAGTAGTTGGTGCCTGGCTACCACTGCTGAAAGGGATCACAATAGGAGGTCATGTAAAGAGTGGGAGAAAATGTGGAACAAAATTAAAAAAAAAAACAAACCCAGGCTTACTGGTCTGACAGAACCCCCAAGACCATGGTCCTTAGTCACCCTTCAAAACTGGAACTAAACTCATCCCCCTGCTCAACTTTCAGACAAGTAATAGGCCTATAAGGTGAATGATAAGGAGCTCTGGTGGCATAGTGGATAAGGCACTTGGCGCTAACCAGAAGATCAGTGGTTCAAACTCACCAGCTGCTCCTCAGAAGGAAGATAGGGCAATCTACTTCTGTAAAGATTTCCAGCCTTGGAAACCCAATGGGCATTGCTATGAGTCAGAACTGACTCAGTGGCAGTGAATCTGGTGGTTTGTTAAGGTGACAATAACACCAGGGAGGTACATACTTCTTAGAATCACCAACCACAAAATGGGCAGCATTTGTTGAGGGATAAAGCTCAGAAGGCAGGGAGGGAGAAGAAAGAAGGACAAATGGAAACAGTAAACACAGGGAGCAAGTATTAAAAGTGCTCTTACATTGTAAGGATTGCAATCAATGTCACAAAATGTGTATGAACTGCTGAATGGAAAACCAATTTGCTATGTAAACTTTCACCCAAATTAAAATAAAAAGTTATTATTATTTTTTTTTTTAAAAAGGAGGTTGGTCTTCTGGCCTGGCCACCTCCCATGCAACAGTCACCTCAGTAGTATCCTGTTAGGTTAGATGTAGTCTGGAGCCCTCATTAAAGACATCTATTATTATTAGGGAAATCTTGAAGTTTTAAAGGTTATCTCTTAGGAACTAACATCAAACTTTTTGGGTTCATATAAAACTCATATCCCCCAACATACACACACACAGCCAGATAACAATCTTGGCTCTCTTCTTTCCTTCACAGGCAATCTTTTAATAAGTTGACCCCCCCATTTGTCTTTTTCATCTCCTATTCACTCTCTAAGGACGGCTGCTGGTGTAGCGGTTAAGGCATTTGGCTGCTAACCAAAATGTCAGTGGTTTGAACCCACCAGCCACTCTGCGGAAGAAAGATGGAGCAATCTGCTTCCGTAAAGATTTACAGCCTTGTGAACTCAATGGGGGTTGCTATGAGTCAGAATCAACTCAATGGCAGCTTAGTTTTGATTCACTCTCTAAGCTATTCTAGTCTGCATTCCACCCCTACCACTGATCTGAAATGCTCTTAGCTACAGGAATTTTGTGCCCTGCAGGGCAGGGATGTTTCTCAGCTTTTATATTACCCAATAATAAAAATAATAGTACGAAACACTCATACAGCATTTACTATGTGCCAAGACAGTTTTAAGTGCTTATATATACTTACTAATTTAATCTTCATAAACTCTCCTCACACACATGGATACTATTATTATTATTCCCTTGTTAGAAATGATGAAATCGAGGCATAGAGAAGTTTAAGTAACCAACCCAGGATTACATAATCACTCGGAGCATTTGCCACTTTCCAGAAGATGGCAGGGGTCTACTTTTTCCTCCCTGAGTCTACCTTTTCCTTTTGTCTCTCAGTTCTCTGTTGTGGTCTCCTCTTTACTCATCGTGATGTTGACACTCCCTAGGATTATGTTTTGTTGGCCCTCATCTCATGCTACACAATCTCCATGAGACCATTCCTACCTATAGATACATGCTGATGAACTCTAGTCCGGGATGTTGAATAGATACCTCAAGCCCAATGGGTCCTCAGCTGAACTCATCAGCTCCAAACCTGTTCATCCTCCTGTGTTCCTTCTCAATTAGAAAGGTATCATCATTCCATAGACCAGTCTAGAATCTAGAAGTCATTTTCCCCTCTAGCTCCCTTACACTGAGTCCTAAGTACTTAATTATGAATATATATATTACTTTATTCATATCTCTTATACCCGTTTACTTCTCTCCAACTGTCTGCCCCTTACCTATCCTTGCCCAGACTACAGTAAGAACCTTCCCAGTCTCTCTCTCTCTCCCTCCCTCACTCCATCTTAGATGCTCTAAACCTTTTTCCATTTTGCCAGCACTGATATTTCTCATCATTTCTCTCTCTGGTCAAAATCTTTCAATGGTATCTCACAGCTTTAAGCATAATGTAAGAACTCTAGCCTACGCCCTAAGGCACTTTGCAGTGTGGCCCTACATACATATCCAGCCTCAACTCTCACCACTTACTTGGAGGAGCACATGAGAAGTTAGGAAGCTGCTAGTTTCCTTTTAAAGTATACACACAACCAGTGTTATCAAATCATCAAGTCAATTAACTCCATGAAAACTGCTTGTTTTTATAGATTACAATTCTTCTAAACATTTCCCTCTTCTTTTGGGCAGCTATTTAACCACCAAAGTAAGAAAACCTACTATTGAGAAATTATTCTGGTAAATTCACTTGGCAGAAGTTTACTGAGCATTCACTCATGCAGCATGTGAGGTGAGGAAATATTAAACAGCAGTCATCAGGTTTCTGCTTTCCAGTAAGGAAGAGATGAGGTGTCTTAATTATCTAGGGCTGCTATAACACAAATCCCACAAGTGAGAACTACATGGTACTCTGCTACCCATATGGAGCATTTTGATCAAAGATTTCACAGAAGAATCTCGATCAAAAAGGGGGAAATGCACAATAGAATGTAAGTTCTCAGGGACTCCAAACTTCCTAGAGCCACGAAGATTGGACGAACCCCTAAAACTACTGCCCTGAGATAATCTTTAAATCATAAACCCAAATATCTCCTGCGGTCTTCTGCAAACCAAACAATAGCTTAGCTTAACTAGTTAAAAAAGCATTATGCTCTTTTAATAACTATCTATATGAGAGCAAACTGACAACAACAATTTGAAAGACCAGATAGCAACCTCAGGGGGCAGTGAATTTACGTTAATAAGGGAGTAACAACTCAGAAAAGGAGGGTGAGAACGGTTAACACGACTCTAATTATGTATTTATTATGTAGAAATTGTTGGATCGGTGTATGTTTTGCTGTGTACATTCTCGACAACAACAAAACAGTAAATAAAATTATACATATATATACACTTACACATATGTATAATTTTATTTATTGCTATATATAGCTATGAAATACACAAGTGGGTGGCTTTAATGAAGACACATTTGTTTTCTCACAGTTTAGGAGGCTACAAGTCCTAGTGCATGACCCCAGCTCCACGGGAAAGCTCTTTCTATCTGTCCATCTGTCTGTTCTGGGAGAAGGTCCTTGTTTCTTTTCAGCCTCTGTTCCTAGGTTCCTTGGTGATCATCCATTCGTGCTTCCTTCTCTGTGCCTAATTTCCTTTTTATATATCTCAAAGGTGACTGGCTTAAAACACACCCTACAATCATATGGCCTCTTACTTTAACAAACAAACAAACAAACAAAAAAACCTCATTCACAAATGGGATTATAACCACAGGTGTAGGAGTCAGGATTTACAACACATATTGTTGAGGGACACACTTTAATCCATTAGCATACGGATAGACACAGTAGATGCTAACTTCTTTCTGACTATGCATGAGCATCCCAGAAATACTACAATGGAGTCATCATCTGTATTGACACTAAAACCTGAATCTGAATCACTCTATCTGCTGACAGGCAGACACCAATCACTTAGTTAACGAGCCTGTCTGACTGTACAATGGTCACAGCCCAACAACACTTAATTAGAGGTCTGAAAGAGTCACAATTTTCATTTATATTTTAAATTACATGGGAACTCATTTGCTGTAGTGGTACTTGCTTATTTGTGTATTCTTAAATATCCCTGGTGAATGCTAATGGTCTACAACCTATTAATAAGGCAGTCTGTGGTCCAAGCCACGCACAACTGAGAAGGAGCAGGAAGTCACCTCAGCCCAGATCAGGGAAGGCTTCCTGGGGGATGTTGTACGTGTATTTGGTTTTAAAGGATAGTGAGGGCTTAAAATGGCAAAGATGGGGACTGAGAGTCCTCAAGACAGACTGGCAGGAGAAAAGATCTGACGGGCAGATGGAAAGCATGACTGGGAGCTTCTACAAAAACAGTATGGCTGGAGTAAACTTGAGGAGAGGCTTGGACTGCATGGCTATGTCTGGCACTCCTTTTAGAGACCACTGAGGTCTTCATTCAGGGAAGCTGGGAAGCTCTAGGCAGGGCATGCCCTGCCTTGTGTAACCATTCACATGTTCAGTGAGTTCCTACAGCTACTTCTCTCTTCAACTTGGCTACCAAGGACTAAATATCCTCTGAGGCTTCCTGCTTCAAAAGTTTTGAGTTACTGCTAAGAAGCCCAGTTACTCTATAGGGGGAATTAGGAAAAGTATCAAGCCCTTTTTGCTTAAAAAATATTTTGGGGGTTGGGGAGGCTGTGGTAAAGAAGGGGAAGAATTACAAGTAGAAAGGTAAAGCCATAATTACCTTTCCTCGCTGCAGCCTCTTTCCTCAGCTTCCTCAATTTCTCCAAGGCCCGAAGAAGGTCCACCATTCTTTTAGTGTCTGCTTGCTTTTTCCTCACTTCAGATAAGACGCCATCAGCAGCAGCTTTGAGTTCCTGCTCCTGGAGGCGAATCAGAGCCCATGAGACCTACCACCAGGAACAACCTTACAGCAGAGAACAATTGCCTGGCAGGTCAGACTTCAGGTAATAAGACAATCTCAGAGTTAAGAAAGACTCTACTGGATTTACATCTCAAATTTCCTGGGCTGTGCACAACTCCCCTCCACACTGGTCCAGCCAAGGGATCATCCTCCTCCACTGATGGTACAACTTGCATCTTAAAGGAGAACTGCTTCTATCTGCACTTTCCATGTGGGCACTAAAATTGTTTCTTCCTCAGTTTTCCTCAAACCATGGCCCAAGGAATAGGCCTCCCTTGTTAAAAATGCACACTAGTAGACACTAAGATTCAGCCTCCCATGGAAGATAATGGTAGAAAAGGCCCAGGAGTCCACAAAGCTCTCTGAGTGACAACCTACACATAGGGTTTGCACCCCATTGCCCTAGCATTACAAGGTACTCTTAAAAATGACAGCCTTTCAAACATCAAAAGGCTATTAACCTACTCTTCTTAAATTGGCTCACATGTAGACTAAATAAATAACCAGGATTCATCAAGCCACTCCTCATGGGACCTTTCTCACCATGGGTGGTGAATAAGGAGCCTCTTGCCTAAACTTCTCTCCCACTGTCAAATACCTGTTATTCCATCATTACAAGCACATGCTGTGTCAGTCTTCTGCTTGTATTATTTCTTCTGCCTAGAACTGCCAACTGTTGTTTTCACAAAACTTTGACATTTCCTTTAAGACTCAGCTCAGATGTCACTATATCATCCAGGAAGCCTTCCCTGACACCTTCCCCCAATATATCGGATAGTCCTTCTTTGGGTTCCTATGGCACCTATAGTTGAAATCTTAACACACTCCATGATCCCCCATGGGGCTCTAAGCCCCTCAAGGACAAACACTATGTCCTATTCATCTTTATCTCCAGCACTGGGCATCAGACCTGGGACATAATACCAAACCAAAACCAAACCCACTGCCATCAAATCAATTCAGATTCAAAGAGAGCCCCATTGGGTTTCTGAGGCCATAAATCTTTACCAAAGCAGATTTCCTTCCTTCCAGATTGTCTTCCTTTCAGAGTGGCTGGTGGGTTTGAACTACCAACCTTCTGGTTAGCAGTCAAATGCCTTAGGCACTACACCATCAGAGCGCCTTTGGCATAAAATGGGCTCCCATTAAATGTTTCCTGAACTGAATCAAACTCCCTCACATTAAGGTGCTGCCTCTTCAGGCATTCTCCTTTAAAGCAGATATTCCTGGAGGAACATTTGCCATCAATACACTTCAGAATGCAGTTATATCAGATTCTAGGAGAGAAGCAAAAACAAGGAGAAGGAAGAAAAGACACTAGCTGGTTATGGAAAGTAAAGGGAGAGGCAAAGGAAACCAGAATGCCTTAAACAACTATATAATCAATTTCCAGTTTTACTCTGGCCCTACTTACAGGTTGAGATTCAATAGGCTTTGAAATCTGACAACGTGGGCTCAAATCTGGAGTGAAAATGCCACATACTGGTTGTGTGACTGTAGTAAATCAACCTCTCTGCGCCTCAGTTTCCTCATCTGCGAAAGTGGGAAAATACCATCTACTTTCCAGAGTGCTGGTGAACCAATTCAATAAACCGGTGCTGGTGATTAACTTGGCCTAAGACTCAGCATTGTTGTTGTTGTTATGTGCCGTCGAGTCAAACCCGACTCATAGCGACCCCTCCTTGGGTTTCCGAGGCAGTATCACTACAGAAGTAGGATTGCCCAAAAACAAACTCACTGTCATCAAGTAGACTCTGACTCATAGCAACCAATTCTGGGTTTCCATGATTATAAACCTTATAGAAGCAGACTGTGTCATTTTTCTTCAGCAGAGTACCTGGTGGGTCCGAGCCAATAACCTTTTGGTTAGCAGTCAAATGCCTTAACCACCACACCACCAGAACTCCTTTAGTATAGACTAAATGGTCAAAAACACCAAACACCAAAAACCTAGGGATACTTAACAAAGGGATCTTGGGAAATTCATCACTATCGTCCCAGCAGCCAATTAGGGCATGTTCCTTGAGTCAGGGTCCCACGTTTTCTGTATTTTGTATTCTTAACTATTATTGAATGTAAATGGACAGACGCTGGAGCAGGAGATGCGCCATCCTTGCAATCCCGCTGTGTGTACCTAAAGCTTTGTTGTTGTGCATTATACCTTCATTAACACGCAATTAATATAGAGATATAGTATCAAGTTAATCAAGACATCATTAAGGGGTAATGGCGGCATAGTGAATAGGCACTGGACTGCTAGCCAATAGGTCAGCGTTCAAACCCACCAGCTGTTCGGCGGAAGAAAGGACGATCTACTTCCGTAAAGATTTACAGCCTCGGAAAGGCAATGGGGGTCGCTTTGAATCGGAAACGACTCCACAGCAGTGAGTTTACAGTATCAAATCGGAAAGGCAAGCTATTATTTTAGGTTGTGGGTAACAAAACGGAAGTTTACCCTAGGAAATGGCATGTCCTCTCAGGTTCCAACCACCACCACCCCTAACCTCCGTGCGCGTCCACTATTCTCACCCGCTTCCTCTCCTCCACCTCCTGCACGCACTTGACCCTCCAAAGATCAATCTCCCGCTCGCGCTCCACAGCCCGCGCGGCCTCCGTCTCCCGCTCGGCCTCGCGTTCCCGAGCCCGCTCCCGAAGTCGCAGCCGGCGGCGCCGAACCCTCTCCAGTCTCCGCCGCACCTCGCCCACGTAGGCCGCCTGTGTCAGCGGCTGTAGCCTTTCTGCCAGTGCAGCGCGCAGTGGCGCAGCCTGGGCGTGCAGCAGTGTCCAGGCTGCGCCATCTGCCTCGGCCTCGCGCATGGCCCGGCCCAGGCCCCGCAGCCGCCGGACTAAGCACAGGGCCCCGCGCAACCGGGCGCGAACTTCGCCTAGGCTAGGCCCGGCGGGCGGGCGCGGAGGCGCCGGGCCACCAGCCCGCCGCGGGGTTCCGAAAACCGCTTCCAACCACTGCTGGTCGCGCAGGCGCTGCAAGGCTCCCTCACCGAGCACATCGGATGGCGGCGGCGCCTCAGGCCAGCGCGAGTTCCAAGGCGGCCCCGGGCCCGGAGGCGGCGGCCGTGGGCGCTCGCGAGAGTCGGAAGTTGGAAATGGCCTGCACTGGGGTGGCGGCGGAGGCAACGGTGGTGGTGGCACAGGATAGAAGGCTCCGCCGCCGCCGCTGCCCCCGCCACCGCCGCGGGATGGTTCCAGGGGCGCCCTGGGCTGTAGAGCCAACGGGGGCTGGAGAAAGGGGGCGGAGGGCCCCGAAAAGGGGCCGGGCCGCTGGGGAAGAGGCGGCGGGAAAGCCGAAGAGGGCAGCGGTGGTGGCGGACAACCGAAAGGAGCGGGAGGCGGTGGCTGCGGTGGTGGTGGGCCCAGGCGACCAGGACCGAAGAAGGGCGGCAGAGCCATGGTCACGATGGAGGGATCCAGAAATCACAGGAACCTGAGCAGTTCCCCGGGAGAGTGTTCCGGGAGGAAGTGACGTCATCACGACGCACCCCTCCCGGAAGCCCGGCGGTGGGTGGGCTTTCATTCAGTTCTTGAAGAGCACCGTGTCTACTAGGTGCGGAGCTTAGTCGTTCGGTACACAATGAAGACTAAGGGATAGTTTATTTCTTCGTGAAACTGTCTAGTAAAGATAATCAAAGGAATAAGAAATGTGCAAGTGCAGTGGTGATTATAAGTACTACCAAGGAGAAACACACGGCGCAACAGAGTTTACAGAATTTGACCTGGTCAAGGAGATTGGGGAAACTTGCCCCAACGATTTGGGACTTCAGCTGAGATCTGGAGGGTAAGTAGGAGTTAAATAGAAGAGGGAAGCACGATTTACGCAGGAACAGCTTGGGAGTATGCCCAGTAGAGGGACAAAATGCTAATAAGGATGGAGCTGAGAAAGCCTGAGGGGAGCCTGGTGAGGTTGGAGATGTCGGTGAACAGAAGACAGTGTTCAGGGCCTCATATCTTAAGAACAGTGGGAAATCACTGGGGGTTTAAGCAGGAAGGGAAAGAGAGGCCATGTTGCATGATTAGATTTTTCTTTTTTTGCATGATTAGATTTTTAAATTAAACTTTATTAAGATAAGCATAGATTCATGTGCAGCTACGAGATCTAATATACTTTTTACCCAGTTTCTCCCAGTGATAATATCTTGCAGAACTGGAGGACAGTGTCACAACCAGGATATGGACACAGAGAGTCAAAATACAAGATCCCTCGTGTTGCCCTTTTATAGCCACACCCACTTCCTTCCTACATGCACCCATGGCAACCACAGATCTGTTCTCCATTTATGTAAATTTTTATCATTTTGAAATATTATATAAATGTTTAACCTTTTGGGATTTTTCTAACTCAGTATAATTATTGGGAGATTCATCCAGGTTATTGCTTACACCACTATTCCATGATCTAAAGAGCAAAGTGGTGCAAAGGTTAAGCACTTGGCTCCTGAAAGCTTGGTGGTTTAAACCCATCCAGTGGCTCCTAGGGAGAAAGACCTGGCCATATGCTTCTGTAGAGATTACAGCCTAGGAGGCTGTACCGGGCAGCCCTCTTCTCACATAGGTCACTATGGGTTTACTCCAAAACAAACCAAATCCACTGCGATAGAGTCAATTCAACTCAGTGATCCCTCCTTCGGTTTCCGAGGCGGTATCTCTCCGGAAGTAGGTTGCCCGATCGTCTTTCCAAGGATTGGCTGGTGGGTTAGCAGTCAAATGCCTTGGGCCCTATGCCACCAGAGCTCCCAGGGCACCTAACAACATTCCTTGATATGGATGTACCACACTTTATCTGACCACACATTGGAGGGCATTTGGGTTGTTTTCAGTTTTTGGCAATTGTGGATAAGGCTGCTATAAACATTTCTTTACAGGTTTTTGTTTTGTGTAAACATAAATCTTAATATTCTGTGATAAATGCCCAGTTTAGTTGCTAGGTCATATGGTAATTGCATATTTAGCTTTTATGTAAGAAATTGCCTAATGGTTTTCCAGAGTGGCTACACCAATTTACATTTCTACCAGCAAAATGCAAGTGATCTAGTTTCTCTGCATCCTTGCTAGCATTTGTTTTACTGGTTTTTATTTTAGACATTCTGATAGATCTTATTGTGGTTTTAATGTCCATTTTCCTTACTGAACATTTTTTCATATGCTTTTATATCTTCAGTGAAATTTCTGCTCGTGTCTTTTGCCCATTTTATAATTATTTTTTAAATGCTGAATTTTGAGAGTTCTTCATCTGTTATAGATACTAGTCTTTGATACACGGTTTACAGATACTCTCCTAGTCTGTAGCTTCTCTTTCATCCTCTTAATAGGCTATTTTGCAGAGCAAAAGTTCTGAATTTTGATGAAGTCCAGTTTATTAATTTTTCCTTTTATGGATCATGCTTTTGGTGTCAAGTCATAGGGGAAAAAAAAAAAAAAAACAACGGTGTGGGGATAGCATCTGACCTTCTCTGACTTCACAAGAGGTAAAGAGGATCCAGAGCAACATCAACAGCCTAAGGCTGATGCCTACGAGGTGGAGGTCAGACATGCCTTCATTCTCTGACCTTTTTGCCAGTTCTGACACCACATCACTATCCCTCCTACAAGAGTCTACTTCTCTGCTGGGTTCAAGAATTCATTGTGGTGGCCACACAGAACTCAAAGACTTAAGCTTATGGGGTTTATCAGGGAAGTAACAAGTTACAATTCAGAATCAGAAACAATTCAGGATACAGTTCTTCAATCAAGACAGTTGCTTTTCAGCTATGCCACAGGTACACTTCTTTCTGCTTGGGTAAGTGTTACAAAGCTCTTTTAGCTTTGCTGATAGGTGACCAGAGGCCCTTCATTCCGCCAGCAAGCCTCCTACTCAAAGGCACTCGGCTTTCTCTCTCCACGGGCCAGGAAGCCTGTTGCTGTCTCATGCTGTTCTCTTGGTTCTGCTGCCATCTCCCTACTGCTGCCTCTCCGTCTCAGCACGGGGATATCAGGTTCATGATGTGCTCCACTCCTGGCTTTTCTTTCTTGATGGCAGGGAGATCTCTCTGCCTCTGGAATGGCTCATTTTAAGCTAGCAAGATGGCAGAACAGACCAATTCCACATTAGGGTTCCATTCACCTTACTTGCATAGTCTCACCCCCATAAGGATGCTATGTACCTTATTTACATTATTAACAAGCTATCCAGTCCCCTTGATGAGCCACACACACTCATCAGAAGCTCTGGTGACGTAGTATTTATGGCACTTGACTGCTAACCAGAAGGCTGGTGGTTCCAACCCTCCAGCCACTCGTTGGAAGGAAGATTGGACAATCTCCTTCTGTAGAGGTACCGCCTGGGAAAACAAAGGAGGGGTCACTGTGAGTTGAATTGACTGGAGACAGTGAGGGTTTTTTTTTGTTTTTTTGCCCAGTCCTCTGCTGGGAGTTACAAAGACTATGACTAGAAGAGCCATATTAAGTAACTCACTGTACTACAGGTCTAAAAATTCTTATCTCTAAATCCTGAAGACGTCTTCCTATGGTTTTTCTAAAAGTTTTGTAGGCTTACATTTACTCTGTGATCCATTTTGAGTTAATTTTTATATAAGGTATGAGACTTAAGGCATAACTAAAAAACATTGCCATGGAGTTGATACTGACTCATAGCGACTTTGTAGGACAGAGTAGAATTGCCCTCACAGGATTTCTAAGGCTGTAAATATTTATGGAAGCAGACTGCTGTATCTTTCTCCTGCAGAGCAACTGATAGATTTGAATAGCTGACTATCTAGTTAGCAGCTGAGTGAGTGCCTAACCACTGTACTACCAGGACATAGAAGGTTCTTGATAAATGTTTGATGGAAAAATGAAACCAGGCATGTCCATCATCCATTTACTTAAAGAGTAACTAACACACACACACACACACACACACACAACCCCAAACCCACTGCCATTAAGACAGTTCTGACTCATAGCAACCCCCGCTGGGTTTCCAAAGCAGTAAATCTTTACTGAAGTACATTGCCCCATCGTCCTTCTGCAGAGCAGCTCGTGGATTTGAACTGCCAATCTTCTAGCAGTCACATGCCTTAGGCACTGTACCACCAGAGCTCCTTCAAAGAGTAACAGTACTTTGAAATTAAGGCAGGTGGGGGGGAGAACCTCTCAACCTGTTATATACCTTATACAATGATAAACAAGCAAAATGATAATATACACTCATATAGTACTCACTCTGTCCCTGTTACACAACTCATTTAATGCAACAATTCTCATGAGGTAGCCATTGAGGAAAAGCAAAACAAAATACTGGAAAACAGTACTTCACACCTCCTAGGATGACTTATTTTAAAAACTGGCAAAGAAGTATTGGTGAGGATGTGGAGAAACTGCAACCTTCCTGAATTGCTGGTAAACATGTAAAATGGTACAGCCGCTGGAGAAGTTTGGTAGTTCCTCAGAAAGTTAATATGGAATTACTGTGTTGTTGTTGTTAGGTGGCATGGAGTCAGCTCCAACTTATAGCAACCCTATGTACAACAGAATTAGTCCATTCTGACATGACCAAAGTATATGAGATGAATCTGGCCATTCTTGCTTCTAAGGAGTATTCTGACTTTTCTTCTTCCAAGACAGATTTGTTCATTCAGAATTATCATACAGGTAAACAATTCTACTCCTAGGTATCTATCCAAAAGAATTGAAAGTAGAGATTCAAACAGGTAATTCTCATTGCAGCATTATTCACAATAGGCAAAAGGTGGAAACCACCCGAGAGCCAGTCAACATTTGAATGGATAAACAAAATGTGGGCTCTGTGTGTGTGTGTGTATACACACACACACAATGGGAAGCACCCTGGTGGCACAGTGATTAAGGGATCAGTTGGCAGGGGGTTGAAACCCACCTACAGCTATATGGGAGAAAAGACCTGGCAATCTGCTCCCGTAAAGATTACAGCCTGAGAAATCCTATATTGCAGTTCTAGTCTGTCCTGTAGGGTATCTGTGAGTCAGAATAGACTCAACAGCATACAACATGTACAATGAAATATTACTCTGCTGAATAAAGCAATGAAATTCTAATATATGCTATGACATAGATGAACTCTGAAACCATTATGCTAAGTGAAATATCAGTCAGAAAAAAACAAATATTTAATGATCCCATTTATGTATCTATAATAGGCAAATGCAGAGATGGGAAGATTAATGTTTACTACCATGGGCTGAGGGGCTCTGGTAGCTTGACTGCTAACCAGAAGGCTGGCGGTTCAAACCCACCAGCCACTCCTCAGAAGGAAGGTTGGGCGATCTACTTTCACAGTGATACTGCCTCGGCAACCCAAGGAGGGGTCGCTGTGAGTCAGGTCCGACTCGATGGCACCTAACCACCACCACCACCATGGGCTGGGTGGAGGGAAAATG